CCATATTATGATATTGAATAGTTGATTAAGAAAACAAAATATTCTCCACTGAAGACTCAATATTCATAACCTTTAAAACTATAACATATTAAAACTGATGAAATAAATAAAACAATGTTTCTATTATGACACGAATCCCCTTCCATATTATGATATTGAATAGTTGATTCTCAATTTTCTATTGAAAACTCAATATTCATAACCTTTAAAACCTATAACATATTAAAACTGATGAAATAAATAAAACAATGTTTCTATTATGACACGAATCCCCTTCGATATTATGATATTGAATAGTTGATTCTCAATTTTCTATTGAAAACTCAATATTCATAACCTTTAAAACCTATAACATATTAAAACTGATGAAATAAATAAAACAATGTTTCTATTATGACACGAATCCCCTTCCATATTATGATATTGAATAGTAGATTAAGTAAAAATAACCTATTCTCTATTGAAGACTCAATATTCATAACCTTTCTTTCTCCTGTTGAATATAAGTATATTATAGTATTGATACTAACGACCTTAACACTCTAGTGACTGATTTCTATAGTTTAAATATTGAACTTAGTAAACACCGGTCAATATTATAGGATAAGACGTAAGTACAAACTTTTCTTTGTATATTTAACATTTTTACTGTATATTTCTTCACAATTCCATGTAAAGACCACACCATACGTTGATGGACCATTGTCTTTTTGAGAAGGTAAAAGTTGGAGGATGTAGGATTATAAATTTTTCACTCACCAAAAGGCCTTCCCCTCAAATTGTGTTGATTAACTGAGGATTCATCCATAAATATAGTAAATACAAGACATTTTGACAATTCAAGACAACGACGTTTAAACAACATGGATTTTCCATCAAACTATCCAAATAGATATAGATTTAGGATAACAATTTTTTTCAAAAGATAGATATTAGGCTTAGAGTACCATAGATACCAACTCCGAAATGCAAATTCAAACATAGGCCTACCACGACATATTATTCTAATACATGACATGCTTACTCATCTGGGGATACCAAAGGCACTTTGTATTGGTATTCGTAGACAAATATTGGCATACCGACTTCTTTTCGACCTCGCCTTAATCAGCAACAGAATATCTCTTAGATATATTTAACTTTGGTTTATCTATTTTCTGTTGTGATAGATCACATGCAAGTAGCATTTGTGGTTAAGGTGTCAGTAATTTTCAAACAACTCCGACCATTCTCTATAAGATATTCGTAGATTTCAACGTTATAACACATTAAAAAAAATTTAAACCAATCAAAATCAAATGTTAATGCTATTTCAATATTTTCTACTCACGATAAACATTTTAATTTTCAAGGTGAATAAAATAGATCAGTGTTATGTATAGGCCAGTAAATTACAGACATCGTCATGAAATGTTAAGTAAGATGTTAAACGATAAGAATAGTTTATGATAAATATAACAATAAAATGAAAATGAATGAGGTATGAGGGAGGGGGTGATTCATATCTGTTATTAAAATAGGAGTATGTGCCGATTGACTTGTGATGTTTTCAAATATTCATAAAAATACAGTAAAAAAAGACGTTTGATAACCTTATAAGGTACGAAGATAAGAGTTATTGAATATATTGTAAAGAAATGTACTAGAAATGTACGAAAATCGCACAATTCCCCTCCCCCCCACCCCAGATATCTTTCGGGCAGACAAGAGGTGTCTTCGACTTCTTAACCTTCAAACAAGACTGGACAATTTTCCCCTATTAAGTCTGCCTGCCCCCAATTTATACCCCCAGTTTGGGGAGGCTATGGTGCCGCCACTGCAGAAGTTGTATTCATAGTTGATTCAATATGATTCAAGCCAGGAATGTGGGAATGGTAATGCGCTCCTACAACCACCCGCGTCATTTTCAGTTTAAGTATATAATATTAGTGTATATATATATATATATATAAGAATAGAGATTGTAGAAACAAATATTAAGAGAGTATAAATACTCAGTCAGGAAACATTCACAGGTCAAAATACTTCAAATTTCACTTTATTGTTGACTTGATTTTACAATTACGGTAAGTAAATATTTTAGTATGATAATATATTATATGAATATGAAAAAATTTCCTTGTCATAGATTATGTTACTTTAACATTTCTTTTATATCTGTTGGTATTTCATGCATTCTTCAGCCCGTTCCAAGACAAAAATTCAAGACTCAGAACTCATGCAAAATTTTTCGTAGGATAATAATCGTCTGGTCATTTTCAAATCAGTGATTAGACACTCAATTTGTCTACAATAAAATATAGATTGGAATACTAAAATTAGTGTTATTGACAGGCTGGTAAAACTTACTAAACAATGAAGGTCATTCTTACATTGAAAAAAATCCATAATATCACTGCAGGATCACTGACTGGATTGTAAAGAGGTTTACTAAATTTTTCCTTATGGATCGGAGACACCGACAGCATCAATTTGCAACATTCCAATTTTCAGACGTCTGTGGTTCCCGCAAGTCCATTGAAACTAGGTGTTTGGTGTTTCACTAATCGCGAAAGGCCTTACATTGTGATACAATTAACGATATTTTGCGATTAATGACGTCATCAAACACTTGGTTTTAGGGGAATTGCAGGAATCACAGACGTCTGATTAAAAATAAGAATGATGCAAATTTGTGCTATTCGTGTCCCTTTAATCTGTTTAAGTGTACAAATACAGTAGACCAGCACACAATAGATAATTATCCATAATAATTTATCATCGCTAAAACTATAATATTATTATTGAAAGATGCACCAGGAAGCTGAATCAATATGAAGTAGGGAAATATAACAATTTGTGGTTAATGAACAGAATCTCCAATTGTATGAGATAAATACTGAGTAATTAAACGAAACGATTGTTCATTGCTAAATATAATATGATAATCACGATTTTAAACCTTCCTTAAGTTTAGGCCTACGTCGTTGATTTAAAGGGGCTCTATCATTTGCCTTTCTTAAACTACCGGAAAATGATATTATATCTATATATTGCCCAAATTAATTTTAAAAAAAGTAAAATTAATGCATGAATATATACAAACAAGGATATATTAACATTACGGAAGATGTACTATCCAAATCAACAGTATAGGCCTGTAATTAGAATGCAGTAGCGATAAGTATTTTTAACATGTATATTATGTTCTGAATAGTCATTATGATTACGTTGAACTCGGACAATTTGAGTTAAAAGGGGAGATAACTTCATTAATTATTTAAGAATAATGAGAAAGGGAGAGTAAAAGTTACTGTTCACATATTATTTTGATTCAAATTGGCCTACACAGGGTTGGAAGGTAAGAATAACTCATAAGAAAAAAGACCAATCAACAAGAGAATTGTGAACAATAAGAGGCGGGGAAAACTTTGATAATATGAACACTATTAAAAACTAAAGGGGACCTCTCACCATAGCGATCACCAGCTACGTGATTGTAACATGAATAACGGTCTTAAGTTTCGAACGTAACTGGGTTGCGAGTGCAGATGTCGGACATTTACTGTTTGGTGGATATATACTGAACTTTAAGTGGAAGGGCACCTTTAAGGGTAGTAAGAAACCACAAAGAAGAAGGAAATAAAGACAAGTTACCTCTAAATTAGATCCTTGTAATGAATCATGTTATGATCGACTGACTATTTGACAGACATGCTCTATACCGCTCTAGGCTTTAGGCCTTATACAGGTTTATTATTTTTTTCACGTTAGACTTCAATAAGGTGATAGTATTTATTGTTTTCAGGTAAGTTTTAAAGTGATATAGTCATGCAATTGATTCTTTTACCGTTTGATGGATCTCAACATCGGGTATCTGAATTACTTATCAAAATTATAATCCGCGGTTCGTTTTTCCTGCAATGCAATAGAAAATTAAAGGGGGAGGGTGCCATCTTTATAAAATCAGGAATTACAACTATATTCCCTATCTTTCAATGATGATCAATGATATATCAATTTATTATAAATATATAGTCATGTGAAGTTTGTACATTATATGTAATGTCGATAGAGCGAGTGTGATTTATAAACTTCATTTGCTTATAACTTTTCAATTGAATTGCCATTGAATGCTCATATTAGAGCTGTAATGAGCGCCATACTAAGTTAATCATCTTAATCTTCATAACTTTTTAAAGAAAAAGTCAGATCTTCAAATTGTTGTCATTATTTCATTCGGTTTCACTTTGATTGCTATACAGATATTTATAATATACCAAGTAAATTGGCAAATACTCCTTCATTTAACATTTACACAGTTAGATATAATGAGCAATAACGTTATTCAAAGCTGTTAGTCTATATAGGAAATATTAATTTTGTTATTTGATAGAGATGCTGCTGTTTGTGTTGTAACACATTTTATTTAAGACAATAATCTGGCCAAGAGTAACTAAAAACTAGAAATTAATTAGGTCTACTATAAGACAAGTCTTGAAGAAATTATTTTAAAATCAACAATTTATATATTTATGATAATGATGCAATATAATACTGTCATCTATATTTTCACATTTGGACCCACTAAATGAGCAGTTTGGTAAAAGTAATTACATGTATGGATATAGACCATAAAACTTTTAAACATTCAAAAGGTCGTTGATATGCACGTTTCTTTGCTTTAAGAGTACATGAAGTGGCATAAGTGGAAATGCGTTTTTTATTTCAACTATTTTAACTGTGAACATGAAAACAATTGAAGCTAAGTAGCACTTGAGACAAGTTATTTTTATAGTTGTGTAGTACTAGCCCCATACATTAGATTTGGTATTTTAATGAACATTTGTACTGATCATTCATATACCATAAATATTCGAGTATAATGCGCACTGTTTTAATACGCAATAGAAATTGAACATGAATCTTTTTTTATGATTTCAGTATCGAAGCATATGGACAAGTAAGAGTGATAGAGAGTCATGGAGGACATGGATGCATCAAACATCACAAAATCAAAGATGGCGGATAGCGAATATCAACTAGAATTGATACCGGTATACTTTTATGTTGGAATAACAATGTTCATAAGTATTCTAGGCAACGGTGTCACTTGTTTTATATTCGGCTATAAATTACGACAAACTGTCACCAGAAATTTTATTTTCACTCTCGCCATGTTGGATCTGGTATCATCATTGATTTGTATGCCGTCTGAGGTTTATTTCTTAGCAACCATTACATCTTTCCACAACCCAGAACTGTGCAAATTCTTTCGTTACATAACATATGTCTTTCATTCTTCAACATCTTTAATTTTATTAGCGATTGCCTGGGACAGGTTTTATAAAGTTTGTCGTCCGTTAAAAGTATTTTTCAATGTTCGTAGATCGCGATGGTATTGTGCGTGCAGTATTGGAGCATCTGTATTCATTGCTGGACCTTCTATTTTGTTATATGGAACGAAAACATTGCCTGACCACCATGGCACCACGTGTTCTGTCGATGACGAAATGGAACCGACCGTGTGGCCGTTTATTTTCTATTTCACCTATGCAATGTTTTTTGCTGCCATTGCAGTCGCCATGGTCGTTTTATATTCTTTTGTGATTAAAGAAGTCAGAAAACTGAAAAAGAATCACGAAACTCGAAAAAGTCGTGTAAAAGATGAACTCAAATTAAATAAATATGCCGATGACCAGTCCAAGAATTCGAGGGAAAGTTGTGAGGCAGATGATAAGGCTCAAGACGAACCTAAACCCACGAAATATTCACCGCTGATACAATCGTCCCAGTCCGACTCTGGAATATTGGTTCCACATAATGACGGACAAACTAAAAAGATCGCAATCGTAATTCCAAAAATCAGTGTTCAAGATTTCGGACCGGAATTGCCAAATGAGTCAACTCCGAAAGTTCCTCTGGTGATCAACGGGAAAGCAGTTCACCATCTACAAATCCACAATAAACATGTTGATAATTTACGAGCTGAAGAAGCTAGTTTCGAATCTGAAATCACTTCCGGTCATGGTACTTTGACTGATTCAGACGACGAGCGCAATGAGGAACAGACAATTCCACGTGAATCTACATTAAGAAAAGTGTTTACTAAGAAAAGAGATAAATGGAGCGACGAGAAACCGGAAGTAAAGCCAGAAATGAAACCGAGTTACAAAAGACAAAGATCTATTGCATATAAACCCGGGAAAACAACGCGCATGCTCCTTGCAGTAACGTTGTGTTTTGTGTTCAGTTTCCTCCCCTTCTTTATAGTCGTCATTATAAGATCTCATCTGAAAGACGCATTTTATACTTCAATGAACGATTTTCAGTCAGTGTTAACCAGTATCTTTATCCGCTCTTATTTAGTGAGTAATGCTGTTAATCCCATAATTTATGGAATATTGAACACCCATTTCAGACAGGAAGTGACGAAACTGATGCGTGGAAAATGCGCCAAATCCCATTCCAAAAGGCGATTTACTTTCAAGATGAGTTCTGAATGTATTGCTGAACGTGAAAAATAGTGAGATCTGACCACATGCATTTACCTTTGAAAACACTGTTTAAATTAAGTGCTTTTTAAGGTAGGCTACCTACTGAAGGAAACTGCCAACCATACTACCTTCTACCTTTCAATGCGGAGAACCAGTGATTTAAATTATCCGGAGAAAGTATATATCTATATCGTAACTTGTATAATGGTATTAATGTCACCATAGTTCTTGGCAAGTATGCATTAGATCTCATCCAATCAGAAACATGTGTATGTGTAAGAAAGCTTTTAATATCGTACTGCAAAATATAATTGTGAAAATAGGATAATTGTGGGTGCTAGCTCTAGTGATTTGCCAATAGCACAATTAGTGACAGTTAGTATGTTCAGACAAAGTCCATATTCAAAATGAAATTCATAAATAATGCACAATATTGATATGCATAATAATGGTCATAAGGGTTTAATCTTAAACATTCGTAAATGATGTTCAGTAAGGAACAATGGTACATCGTAATGGTGCTCATAATAGTCAGTTATATAAAAATGTTCACATGAATGTTTATAATTTGTATGAATGGTATGATATACAGTAATGATATTAATAATGATGTGTATAAGACAATAATGTACAGTAATCATATTCATAAAGATGTTCATAAGACAATAATGTACAGTAATGATATTCATAAAGATGTTCATAAGACAGTAATGTACAGTAATGATATTCGTAATGATGTGTATAAGACAATAATGCACAGTAATGATATTCATAATGATGTGTATAAGACAATAATGTACAGTAATGATATTCATAATGATGTTCATAAGGGAATAATGTCTAGTAATGATATTCATAATGATATTCGGAATAATGTACAGTAATGATATTCATAATGATAAATATATTTTCTTACACAATGATCAAACTGTAAACATATAGCCTATAAAGCAATGCGATTAGTGCTACAGAGATTGTTTCTTTATTCTTTATTCTGTATGAGCCTATACCCTTGCATCAAATTAATTGTTTATAAAGGGTGCGGTTGAGTGGTTCTCACTGTATGAATCAACGATTTTGGTACATGGGAAGCGATCTTCTTGGTGTGGCTACAGACCAATTCTAACTTTCAGAAGCAATATAGTATGGAGTTATTTCCCTTTACTTAAAACAATCCAAAGTAGGGGTATCACTTGCTGGTTTCCTGAGGCCTGCGGGTTCGATCCCACGGTGGACAGATCAGTATTTCGGTTTTATCCACAGGCTTTAACCTTACCAGTAATGATATTCATAATGATATTCATAAGGGAATAATGTCTAGTAATGATATTCATAATGATATTCGGAATAATGTACAGTAATGATATTCATAATGATGTTCATAAGGGAATAATGTCTAGTAATGATATTCATAATGCTGTTCTATTTAGTAATGAACAATAATGCAAAGTAATAGTGATGAAATAAATTTTCTTACACAATGATCAAACTGTAAACATATAGCCTATAAAGCAATGCGATTAGTGCTACAGAGATTGTTTCTTTATTCTTTATTCTGTATGAGCCTATACCCTTGCATCAAATTAATTGTTCAGTCGGTTTATAAAGGGTGCGGTTGAGTGGTTCTCACTGTATGAATCAACGATTTTGGTACATGGGAAGCGATCTTCTTGGTGTGGCTACAGACCAATTCTAACTTTCAGAAGCAATATAGTATGGAGTTATTTCCCTTTACTTAAAACAATCCAAAGTAGGGGTATCACTTGCTGGTTTCCTGAGGCCTGCGGGTTCGATTCCACGGTGGACAGATCAGTATTTCGGTTTTATCCACAGGCTTTAACCTTACCAGCTTAGAGGGCTTGGAATAGGAAAGCTTCTAAACTTTCGGACATGACAATAAATCGAGGTCCTGTATGTATGTGTGCTGTTCACTTTAAAGATGAACTACCTCGCCGTTTTGAATTTTAAAACAACAGCTGTCTTGGCGAAATGCCTGTCAGTGCCTACTACACGGCATTGCCTATCTTCAGTAGTCCAATCAGAAGAAGAAAGTAAGTACATAAAACTCAGAATTATTTTTTTCGTTCTCAGAATTAATTTTTTCGTTGTCACAATTTTTTCGTTGTCACAATTTTTCTCGGGTAGTCTATTCAAAAAATGTTCTTTCAAACTACAATCAAAAAGTCATATTTTCTTAAAGGTTTCGAACTCACGACATCCAATAGGACAAGGATCTCGAATTCTTTTTAAAATTAACTTGAAATAGTCGCGTTATAGTGGGTTGGGTTAAACTATTGATTAACATTATAACATGACCATGTTTAAACATTGGGCGTATCGTTTAGTATTGAATAGCCATTGAAATCAGAACTAATCGCGAATTTTCGTCTCAAGAGGAACACATCATTGAAGTTATATTTCAGTTGATTTAGTTGCAATTCCGAATGAGCGATTTGGTGTGTCTGTTAGGCTTAAGGAGCGGCGATTATTTTTTTAGAGATGGTCCAGGACTGTTAACGACATGTCACTCTACTGTCAAGCTCGACTCTGATTGGCAGAGCAAGCCCCTCCCCTTTTATTCCTTCATCATCTCAAATTAACAAATTTCTTACAAACTGACAATTTCACTTTACTTCGGACAAAAAATTTGTAATTTTCCAAGAGAAGTGAATGACAATGAGATGTGTTGAAGACGGTGAGGTCTTTTTTCTTTCATATTTTAACAAAAAACAACCTGTTTAACATTTTCAATGACAATGAAGTGTTGCGATTTTAAAACTCTTGTCGTTAGTTATTGAATGAAATATTGAAATGTATTTATTTGTGTAAAGTCAATGATTGTCAATCTTGTCGAGTTTTAAATCGGTTCGACAATTTGACTGATTTAATCTATCCCGCGTAGACCTGCCCGTAAGTAGGCCAACACTACGCATAAGCGTGTGACTTTTGAGTCGCTGCCTTCTGAACCAAAGTGAGATATTTCTGGGAAAAATCAAAGAAGAAGAATTGGAGGGAAGGAAAATAGCTTTTTATTGTTTGGTCACATTCAACTTTATATGAGACGTCAGCGATGGACATTAACGGAATTTTCAGCAGAGATCGAATGTAAGTGTGTTTTATTCCAACTGCGGTTGACTATACATTAATCTGATGGCGAATTAAGTTATACTCAATAACATCTAAAACAGGATTAAAAAAATTCCATGTCAAAGCTCCACTGCACGTTTTTGTACCATTGGAATCTCTTCTATCCGGCAAAAGTCCTATACAATTTATACATTGAAATCGTAAAAGCAGGATTTTGATTTAAAATTGCTTTTGAACTGGTTGAAGACAAAGGATATTTAATTTTTCATGATTTAAAAAAATTAAAAAAATCAAAGAATTAATTAAATAAATCGTGAGAATTTCTCTATTTTCATTCATAAATAATCCGGCTCTTCTTTCTTGACTGTGTGAAACATGTGCATGTATGCGAAATACGTGTGTTCTTATTCTATACATATATGATAAAATATCAACAATTTAAGCTAACAAGCTAACAATCCTACAGCCCGTTGACTTTATTTTAGTGAAATTGTGTGAAAACATTGGATGAGTGTTTTAAGAATAATTCTTCAAATATTGACTCTTGACATCGCACGAGTTTTTATCTATTTTCTCGTTTTTTTAGACAAATTTTATCAAATTATTTAGTTAGAGGCAAATATTGTATTGTCGTTTGATAAGTACATATGCTGCTTAAACGAACCTCGGATAAGAAATCCTCATCAGGACATCGAGAAGCAGTTTCCAGTGTCCATGATTTGTAATGCGGAACTTGGCGTTTTGGTTGTGTTAGCTTTGCCTTCATGTAAAGTTACAAACTAAATCCCGATTTACATTAATAGAAGTTTTGTCGTGATACCCACAGTTCTGTGAACATTTTTCTACACGGTGTTAATTTCTTACTGGTAATATTTGAAGCGGAAATCTTAATTTGTTCCAACATGACAATAAACAGGATCGAATTCCAATACAAGACAATAGCTGTTCGATATATCTTCTGTTTTTATTCCAAACCAATATGTTAATCACTCATATTGTAAAGACTGATCAGTTGGCTGGTTCCAATATTTAATATGATACCTGGAAATGCCAAGACGTTTGGTAACGTGAACTAACGGTGTAACCAAGTAACTAACTTGATCTGGAAAATTGAAAGATTTTAAGAATCCAGCACTTAACTTTGTTTTGATGTTGCGCTTTTCTGCAGGTAGTGATGTAATGTTGTTACGATCCGGTGCTAATGAACTGTTATACTGACGAATTATGGTGCAGCTAGTATATAAATTTGAATTGTAGTGCTGCTAAATAGGAACTCTTATTACAGCGAATTTGAATTATTACTTTACCAGTGCTGAACAATTGAATTATTGTCACAACAAATTCCAATTTTTGAACAGCTGATGTTATAACGAATTGCGATGCTGTTATTGGTCTGACCGAATCAGGGTGTAATGCTACCATTGATGAACTGGTAATATAACGAATTGTGGTGCTGTCACCATTGAAGTACTGTTATAACGAAGTGATGATACCACTTTTATGAACTATACCAAATTGTGATTATTATCACCATTGATAAACTGTTATATAACGAATTGTGATGCGGTCACCATAATAATATCGTTTTAGCGAATTGCCATGCGGCTAGTAATGAACTATTGATATAACGAATTGTGCTGAAGAATCGTTATAACGAATTGTGATACTGCTAGTGATGAACTATATAATGAAGTCAAGATAAAAGTCATTTAATCTCTACCACTACCATAAAGTTATAAAATATAAACCAGCACAATGAATGAACAAACTTATTTTCATTGGGATTTGTTACGTCAGCCCCTTCAACCACCAAGTTTCGGCATGGCTCCATCCTTCTTTGATGTCAACAGGTAAGAAGCCAACATTCTTTATATGAAAGATTTATTGGGCTAAGGAAGAGGATGGGAATGAACCCTCATAAGGTTGTAATAATAATATCATGA